TAAATGTCACTTTAAGTATGAATTGAACAAAGGATAGTCATCTTTCTGTATGAATAAATTGCAATTCTGATTTAAAAAAATATTTTTGCATACTTTTAGACACTTAAAATGGCATTTAAAAGTGAAAAACTTAAAATTTAAAAAAGAAATTTATGATTTTAGATTTGAAAATCTACAAAATATTACGTCATTTGGAATGAAAATGTTTGTAAAATGTCTACTAATTACGTTTAAAGTAATTGCTAACCTACCAAAAAAAAGAGGTAACGAAGGCAATTTAATAATCAATTTTATTGTCCTTTTTTCTTAGTGTAGAGCAAGCGAGAGCGCAGGCATTTGACACACATATGCAAATTGCAACGCCATTAACAACCACTGTCCGTGTGTGCGTGTCTATGCCTATGTCTGCGTGTGCGTGTGTGTGCGTAGTCAATACGTTTTGACACTAATTTGGTCAGCATTTGCATTGAGACCCATTGCAAATGGCATTCGCCAAAGGCCATCGTCAACATCATCGATTTCATCATCAGCATATCGGCATTATCATGATTTGCATTTCCATTTCCAATCACCTTTTCCCGGTCCCCTCGGTCCTCTCGATCCCCCTCCCCCTCCAATCAACTTCCTCCTTTCTCAAAACTGAATCTGCATCCCATATCTATCCCATCCGACACAAAAGCCTCAAATTGCAGCTGGGCCAACAAACTGACACATCGAAGGGACAGGAATGCGAACAGGAAATGATGCAGCCTACGATGGGCATTCAAGGGTTTAGAAGACTGAGGGGGGTGGTAATGCAAGGGGGAGTTAGGAACCTTCAGTCTTGGCCATTCTGAGGTTTGTAAGCTGGCCGAAAAGGCAGGAACACTGTGGGTGCGACCAGAAAAACGCTTCAAGTCCCAAAACGATACAGTGCAAAAAATGATTGAAAATGTGGGGATTTCTCAAAATTATTTGATTTATATTTCGTGGAGTTAGTTATAAATATATTGAAATTGCTGAAATTGTGTGCCACCTAAATCACTACGTTTTTTAACTCACTTTAAAATGCAATTTTAGGTGTATAAAAGTATGCAACAATATATTTTAAACTCAGAAGTACCATGAATGTATTAAAATAGACGATTGTCTTTTGTTCAATGCATACTTTTAGACACCCGAATTTACATTTAAAATTAATTTTAAAACCCAAGTGATTTCTCTTCAATCTTGTTTAACTAAAACACATGCCATTTAATTATTCATAGTAATTAAAAAAATAAAGCTAACGAATTTGTATTTGTATCTGCATAAAAATGTGGCAAAGCCGGATCTTAATTACTCTCACAAACATTCTGTAACAATTAAACTTTGACTTCCTATTCATGTTTTGCATTTATTACATCTCTTTCAAGTTGTTCTTGTTTCCCAACAAGCTTACAAGATTCTTTGTTTAATTCTAGTTCATTGTATTTTTACTGAAATTTTTCGATTGCAAGTGTAAGCAAACTATGAAAGGAGTCTCTTGGGCCTATTTGAAATTGGGCTTTCGGCCAGCCCTTCCCCCTTTTTCATTCAAGAAATGCTTTGTGTGCCTGAGAAATCAGCTCATGTGAAAAGTGCGTAATGAATGCAATTCCTGCAATTTTTCCCAAAGAGTGAGGCATGGGCCTTCATGAAATTGTAATATTTCGCAAGCAAATCCGAAACGCAATCATTGAAGTTTGAAGGTTTTCCCTCATGCACATTAAGCATACGCAACGTTGCCGAATAGCTCTTCTCACCCCGATTTTAAATGCTTTGCCAAATATTTTATCCATTACGCCATGCATTTTGGCCTCGCTTTTGAACCCCAACCCCATCCGACCCCCCTTTGGGAAACTATGCGCATATTTTGAAAGATGTTTTGCATTAAGAGGGGTAGCATTATTTATGACGTCGCTGGCAGCGGATATTAGGGCTGATGATAATGATGATTGCGATGGCGATTATGATTACGTTGGGGCTGCGCTGCGCTGATGATGTTGTTAATGGAAGGCACTACACTCGACTTCACTCCAGTCGAACCCACTCTCTACAGCCACTTCTACACACCCTTTAAGGTGCCAAGTAGTTTGAACTAAATTTCGAGTGATGGATGCTGGTTTATGGGGATTCAAGTGGGGGCTTAAGGGGTTTACGCGTGGTTCAAGTAGAGTGCAGCTTTCAGGCCAAGTAATTATCAATCAATTTAATTTATCTACTTTTGGTAGCGAGTTACGTCATTTTTGAAATATCACCTTAAAAGTCTTGGGGATAACTTATAAATATAATTTAAGGTGTCCAAAAGTGTGCAGTGGATGAATTTATTTTACTTCAGAATGTAAAATATATATATATATATATATTATTACGTATTTTTCAAAAAATCTCTCAAAAAGTGTTCTAGATAACTTTTAAATGTAAGTTTACGTGTCTAAAAGTATGCAGTATATGAATTTATTTTACTTTGGAATGTAAAATATACTGTTGCATACTTTTAGACACCTCAAATGACATTTTAAAGTGATTTTAAAATTCTTGTGAAAAAATCTTTTATGACAAACTCTTAATATTTTTTAATAATATTCTCTCAATTTGTTTTAGCTATGGAATATTGGAAATTGCTTTAAAATAGTTTTTATAGACATATCGCAAAGTGATTTTCTTACAAAAAATGTAATATTGCATATAGCTGGGGTTTTATTTTGTGGTTCCAGTTTTCCGCTTCTTTTTTTGTAGCTCTCTGTTTTTCTTGGCCTTTTTTTATACTGTCTGCTTCAATTTGGTCAGCTTTTCTCCACATTTTCCCCTTTTTTTTGGCTTTGTTTCTATTCTGTGTGGCGGCGCCGTGCAGTCTGAAAGTTTTTCTTGTTGTCTGACGGGATTCGTATTTCGATTTCTCTCTTTTTTTTTTTTTTTGGACAGAGGCAGCATTTTTATTAATGAAACACTGTGTCAACACTCTGGGAGGGAGCGAGAGGGCGAACCGAGAGGGACAGAGAGGCAAGAGGGTGGCGCGCACAAGTACAATGTATAAATATTATGTAAACACGCAAACAATGAAGTGATTTGTTGCTACTTAAATTTAGCTCCCGAGAGGGAAGCAACAACAACAAGGAGGAGGAGGAGGTGAAGGGGGTGGTCGTAAGAAGGGGGAGGGGATGCTGCACACACACACAAAGGCACTCATACCCACACAGTTGCGGAAGGGACAATAGAAATGCCAAGAAATGGGTATTTCTTAAGTTGCAACATACAATACAATTTAACTTGTATAAATTCATCATTATATTTGGATATTATGGAAACTAAAAAGTAAAGTTTTTTAATCAACAAATGATGATCACTGCTTTTTTAAAATAACTTAAATAGTGTATTAAATTAGGCTATAATAAAATATCCTTGAAAAAAATTTAGTTTCATACTCTTAGGCACCTTTGAAATTTAATTTTAACTATTTAAAATCTTACTTCTTAGCCGTAATAAAAATTTTGCAATGTAAACTGTTCAACAGATCTGTACATGTGTGCGCCTTGAAAAGTGGATTCACTTAAATGACTGTTGAAAAGTATGCTATAAGAAAATATCATGATCATACTCTTAGACACCTTTTACAATATAATATGATATTTTATTCCATGTCTAAACTGTTGACCACATCTGCGCCTAGCAAAGTGGATTGCTGAATGTAAATAATTTAAAAGAGTGTTAAAAAGTATGCTTTAAAGAAAATATCCTGATAAAAAATACAATTGCATACTCTTGGGCACCTTTGAAAATTTAATTTGAGATTTTTTCATGTCTAAACTGTTGACCACATCTGTAGATGTATGCTTCAAGCAAAGTGGAATTAGTTGCAAAGAAAAGCAGAAAAAGCAACAGAGAGCTGGGAAAAAAAAAGAATTGAAAGGAAATATTTGTGTGTGTGTGTGTGTATTGCTGTTTGTGTGTGCTCCGAGTGTGTGTGCGTTTGTGTGTTTGTGAACAGGCGCAGTCGCTGTGAAAGTAGCAAACAGGGCCCAAGGCATTTCTCGAAAAGAGATGGGGTGCCGTTCGCTCGAAAGGAGAAAGTAGAGAAAGCGCGGCCCTGTTTCCAGCTTGTTTAGCAACACTTAGAGAAAAGGGGGGGATGATAAGCTGGCCACAAGTGCTGCAGAGATTGGAGGAAGAGGGATTTGGAGGAGGAGCCCAGGATTCTAAGGGTATTGCAGTGCCACCTGTGATCCACGCTAGATGGCGCCATTAAAATAGAATTGAAAAATGTAGCACTCTTTTAGGCTGGGAATCCTTAACGCAAGTTAAGTGAGTTTGATAAAGCTTATAAAGGATGCTATAATAAATAGATGGTTTCGTAAATATTCTTAAAAAAATATTTAATCAACAAAACAAAAAATCTTTAAGAACGAAAAATTCATAAAGGTTTTTTAAAAACAAAATTACAAAACATTTTTCTATCTATCAATTATGTTCATTGCATTTCTAGAGACCTTAGTTCACCACAATTCCCGATGGGATTCTATATTTACTCCATGTTACAGCTCTCTAGCTAATTAAATATAACTTCTTGTTGTATTTGGCCTAGAATTATTTCTTGAGCTTTACTTGGACATCACTCACCAGTGATATATATAGTAAGGAAAGCGTTTTTGCTGCGCTTAATTCACTTTAGATGCCACTTCTCTCCCGTTTCCCATTTTCCACTGCCTTCGTGGCAAGTTTTCCTGGCCACTACTTTCAGTTTTTACCTCTCGGTTCTTCTTTTTTTAATGCAATTTAAACAAATTAAAAAGTAGTGCGTGTGCCGAAGGCGGAAAAGGGGGAAATTGCCTGGGGTTTTCCCAGCAGCAGCAGCTTTATCATCTTTCGCATCCATTAGAATTTGTTACGCTTCCTGCCCTCGTTGCTCTATGATAACTTTAATTAAACGCAATTGAGTTGGTTTAAGATTGGCTTCTACCACTTTTTTTTTGTCTAAATTAAAGTGGAAATAAAAAAGTTAAAGATAAAATCTGTTTTAATCCTATTTGATTTCAGGTTGGTAGAATTCCAAACTTTTTTTTTGAAAAATCAACTCAAAAATCATGTTATGTGAAAAGTTTAAAATCCATTTATACTATTTGATTTTCGTTTAGAACTTTGTAGCCAATTATTTTGAAGCATCATGTCGAATTTGTTCTGTGGGGTTTTTCATTTAATCTACAGATTGGGTAATTCATTTCAAAAAAAGGTAAAGGGTTTGGAATTATAAAAGGTTACATATCTTTTAAAGTACTCTATTGATTATAAGAATTACGCCAACATTGTATATTGTTTACTTTGATCTCTAAGAAATTGGCAACTAAAACCCTTCGAACAACTTGTTGTTGCAACTTTTCCTAGTCTTACTGCCTGGAAAACTGAAACCACCCACCTAATCCCCTATCTCTGACCAACCCCCCCCCCCAGATTTTCCTTTCTCCGTATCGTTGGCTCATTGTTAAATCATTTCAATTATGGTCGAACTAAAAAGTAGCTAGTTTAGGTCAACAGCGGGGTTGTGTGCAGCAGAGGATGATGGAGGAGATATAGAGATAGTAGCAAGGAGCATCATCAGATGGGTAAGCTGCTCAGGCAGCAGCAACAACAACCTCCTCAGAGGGTCCTTAATGCCCCCAGTTGTTGTGGGTGTTGTTGTTGGTGTTATCCTGTGCTTGTCCATACAATTTTTGTTGTCCCCCTAACAAGGCAAAAAAAGAAAAGATAGAAAAACGAGAAATAGGAACGTTAACAAAGGCAAAAATGCTACTCGAGAAGTATACAAAAAAAACAAAAAAAAAAAATAAGAAGAAAAGTTGGCCTGCACTTAGAGTCCTTTATACGCTATATCCTATATCCTGGTGTGTGCATGTGTGCAATAATTGTGCATTGATTATCATAATATTCTCGCAGCGCCATCAAAATTGCGCATAAAAATCACTCGCAGCTAGATAGACAAGCGTCCATCCAGCAGTTTATCCATCAGTTTATCCCCCAAGTTTGTTTGTCAGTCACTCGGAACGGAACTCGCATATATACATGTATTCCATATATATATATTAGGGTGTCCCTTATTTTTCATGTTTGATATATTTTTACGCATACCTTCTTAAAACGTTCCTAATAACTCAATATGTTCTAGAAAAAAATACTAGCCCGTTGCATGCAAGAGAACACGTGCCGACTTGCAATTTAAGCTTGTCCGTACAAGTTGGTGCGGTTACAGCGCTGCGACTATGGACTACGCTTCATTCGTTATTTCATTCGTAAGTTTTGGTGTTATTGGTGCACTATTGTTTGTTGAGTAAAGATGTCAGTGACATTACGTAGTGATAAAGAAAATATTTTTCTTATCGGGCTACCTAGTCATCAAATCACTGGTGCAAAGTTACCATCAAATCGCCAGGTTCTCTCCGTTTTATTTTATAATATTCGGCAAGTCAAGCTAACTCTCAGTGAAAGTGCAAATCTTGTGACTAGGGAGTGTTTAATATTTTGGGAAAAAGCGAGAATTCCCACAAGGGCATTGCCCAATTGCGTGAAGAAACTTATTGATTTATACCATGCTTGGAGAGAGCTGCAAAAAAATTGTAAAAAAACTCTAGCCACTTTCAAGGACCGAGAAAAGAATTTTAAAATAAGCCTTGATAACTTATTTGATATTGCACATGCTGATGCCTTGAAAATAATAAAAATAGAGGAAGACAAACTATTTTTGAATAAACAAAGAGAACCAGGTCGACCAGGATATTTAGCTGGTGTAGACAAAAAATTGACGGAGAAAGAAGAAAGAGTTAGACAGAGACGATTAGACGATGAGGAAAGAAAATTAAGACAAATGGAATTATTGGCTGTTGCATCTACTTCTACTACACAAAACTTGGAACATTCCGAAGATTCGGACGGGGAACAGATTTTGTATTCTGAAATCAGCTTGCCAGTGGTTCTCGGCTCTAAAACAAGTTCGAAAAGAGGTAGAAAGAAACTGATAACACCTAAACTTGTCGCAGCTTTAGACCGTTGTCAGTTGAGCATTAGAGACTCCGTTTACATTCTTCATGCGGTTGTAGAAGCGCTTGGTCTGAGCAGTGATGATTTCCCAATTAATAAATCCTCGATTCAGCGAATTCGTACTCAGATGAGAAAATCTAGGGCAGAAGCAATAAAAACTGATTTTCAGAACAATGTTCCTGATGTAGTCACAGTCCATTGGGATGGAAAACTATTACCAGGGCTGAATGTGCGAGTTTCAAAAGAAGAACGCTTGCCAATTATAGTTTCATTTGACGACAAAGAACAGCTTCTTGCAGTACCAAAACTGGAGAGTTCTTCTGGTAAACATCAATCAAAAGCCGTCTCAACCGCCCTTTGTGACTGGGATCTTAATAACAAGGTACAAATAATGTGCTGCGACACCACATCTTCGAATACTGGACGTTACAATGGAGCTTGCGCTCTTTTAGAACACACTTTAGAAAGAGAATTGTTATTGTTCGCTTGTCGTCATCATGTTTATGAGTTGGTCTTAAAAACTGTCTTCGAAACCAAGATAAAGCACATTACTAACAGCGCAGATATTCCGCTCTTTAAGAAGTTCAGAGACAATTGGAAAAACATCGATTCAAATAAAATTGAACTATGCCTTGATTTCGTTAAAGAATATGTTGCTGAGACAAATATTACATCTTTGATAATGTTTTATAAAGCAGAACTGGAAAAATCTTTCATAAGAGACGATTATCGTGAATTAGTTGAACTTTGCGTAGTGTTTCTGGGAGGAGATACAAACAAGAAAATAAAAATCAGGCCCCCTGGAGCTATGCATCAGGCACGGTGGATGGCAAGAGCGATTTACTCTTTAAAAATATGTTTGCTGCAATCTCAAGTCAGAATGATTGTAAAAGACAAAAGGGCCCTACAAGATGTTTGCCTATTTATCGTCACATTGTATGTAAAGCCTTGGCTTGAATGCACAGTGGCGATTAAAGCACCTAACCAAGATTTGTACTTCTTGAAGGCATTAAAAGAGTACGAAAAAGTTGACACAACAGTTTCAAAAGCTGCTTTAAGCAAGTTCAGCCACCACCTATGGTACTTGTGTGAAGAGACAGTCATTTTATCACTGTTTGATAATGAGGTTGATAACCAAACCAAAATGAAAATGATTGAAAACTTAGACAGGGACAAGAGGTCAGATGTTGGCAAACGCTATATTCCATCAAAGGAAGAAATGTCCCAAACGTTGTTTGGTAAGCTAAAATTATTTTTTGTGTCTGTTTTTTATATACTTTACGTTGTAATTCTTTTTGTTAATTAACCTGTTTTTTGTTTCAGATAAAACGCTGGATGATTTTGTATCGGAGAAGAGCAAACAATTTCTAACTCGACTGCAGATTGACGACAGTTTTCTTCAGGAAGATATATCTTCTTGGGATGATAATGCTGCTTTTCTGAAAGCTAAAAGTAGGATAAGTCGGTTGAAGGTTGTAAATGACACTGCTGAGAGGGCTGTCAAATTAATGCAAGATTTTCAAGGACTTATCACGGCGGAAGAAGAACAAAAACAATACCTGTTGCGCTGTGTCAACGAACATAGACATTTATATCCGGACTGTAAAAAAACCACACTAAATAGAAGTTACCCTGCCTGATTGTTATTATTTTATGTGTTTAAATAAATATAAATATTACAATAAATTCATTTTCCATTTTATTCACTTCATTAATTTCATTTTGATTAATTTTATAGAAGATTGGAATAATAGGACAAAAAACATTTTTTGATCAAATTTGAAGCTCGGTCGGCACGGGTTGCAATCATGCTAGAAAGATCAAATTTCATATTTGAGTAAGGTTTTACATTTATAAAAGATACAGGGGGTATGCATTACAAAATTCGAAAAAAAATTTTTTTTTGCCATATAAGGGACACCCTAATATATATATAGCAGTGGCAAACAGATAAGCAAAAAGCAAATGAAGCGTGGATCAGGAAACGGCAAACACAGAGAGTGGAAAATGTATTTGCAGTGGGTTTATATGTGTTTACCAAACAGTGACTGCTTCACAGTGATTTGGTCAAAAAAGAGTTTGATTTTTTAAGTGATTTTTAAGTGGAGTAGTGGGAATAAAACATAGTATTCTGGCGGCATTGAGTCTTTACCAACTAAAATTAAAAATAATATAATTCCTATATGATCATGTTTAGCACCTCCATAAATATGGAATTTCTATGTTGTGAATTTTTTTTGTTTTATAACTTTCCTTTTTTTGTTTTGACGGAACCTTAGTTTTTACTACAACATTAGTGCCAGGAAATGTGACTCTCTCCCGCTGTTTTCCCTCATTTTCCTGGACTGTCAGCTCTGACCGTTGATCCATCATTCGGGCCACGTGTCTGTCAACTGCAGCCCCCTTTTTCCACCCCACCTCCTGTCAGCAGGACTTCCGTTTCCGTTCTCGCATCGCATCTCATCACGCTCGCTTTCTCTCTCTTCTTTTGAATCGAAAATAGAACAGCAAACCGAAAAACCAAAATTGAAATTGAACTAATTAAAATGACGAACTAGTGCAAAACAATAATAAATCGACATTTAATCGTGAATAACGAAAATAGCAATTAGAAAAACTTAAAACGACGACGAAAAAATGCCAAAGGATGTGCGCGCAATTTTCTAGGCGTAAGGGGATTCTCTAGAGAAAAAGAAAAAAAAAAAAAATTGTGGAGTGCCAAGATGATAGCCACGCTGTTCATCATCTTTGCATTTATTCGGGCCTTTCCCTGGAGCAGAAAGCGAGGTCGACCCGCCTTGGCTTTGACATTAATGCCAGAGGATCAGGATCTTGAAAGGGAACGGGATCGGAATCAGAAGGGTGAAAATAACAATCGGCCAAGACCCTCGATTTCGCTGGGACGAGAGAACGGCGATGGTATGGCGCCGAGGACTCGACGAAAGTCCTCGAAATTCCACGAGGTCACCTTTAGCGGCAGTGTGGGCGGTGGCGACAGCGATGGCGGCGGCGAGGTCACCAATGGCAATGGGGGCTCCGGCCTGGAAATAAGTCCCAACAAACGTCACTCCCTCAGCACCACCAGTAACTCCAGTTCGGCACCCTATCGCTATCTGAGTGGTAGCAGTAGATCTCGGGGATCCCGAGGCGATTGCCACGAGTACTACCAACTGCAACAGCAATCCCCGTCGTCCCTATCGAATGGTGGAAATCGCGGCAATCGGGCACTTAGTCAGCGGAGCGATACGATGGCCACGGAGGCGGAGGGCGAGGAGTTCGAGGTGGATCCCATGGACGAGGACGATGAGGACGAGACCTATGACCGTGAGACGGAGGAGTTCTATAGCAATATTCAGGATGCCGCGGGCACGGGTTCATCGGGTCGCAGCAAGAGGTCCTCGCTGTTCTCCAGATCGGATAGTTCCGCCACCACCACATCCTCGAGCGGTGGGGGAACCTTTACTGGCGGCAAGCGGAGATCAGCCGCCTCCATTCTGTCCTCATCGATGTGCTCCGATCTGATGACCAGCGATCGGCGCAGCTCCACGGCCACCGAATACAGCGTCAAGTCGGTGACCACCGGCAATACCACGCAGCGCAGGTCCAGCGGCAGGATCCGGAGATATGTCTCCCGGATGACGATCGCCGGGGCCAGGAGACGGACCACGGGCAGGTAACGAATAGAGAATAACCACAACAACTTTTTGAGATATGACACATTAAATTCGGAGTTTAATTGGCCAAGTTAAGGGCTCTAGAAGTTCAGTTTGGGGTCACCTTTCAGGAAGTCACAAAAACAAATTTTAAAGGGGTCATACAATTTTGATTTTAAAATAAAAAGAACTCGGCCAAAATTTTTAGAGGTAACCACATTTAGATCAGAATCCAATTGACCAAGTTATGAGCTCCAGAAGTTCAGCTTGGAGTCACCTTTCCGTCAATTATTACAAAAACGGAGAAAAGTTCTAATGGGTCAGAAAATAAGGATTTAAAAGTGATAGGAAAATACAACCACAAGTTGTTTGAAGCATACCACATTGAAAACGGAACACAATTATATAAACTAGGGTTTATTTCGGTATAAGGTGGGGTTAAATAAAGTTGGGGTTAAGTCGGTGCAAGTGTAGTCTTAGTAAGGATTAAGGCGAGGATAAGTTGGGGTTAGTTAAAGTTAAGGCGAGGATATGGTGGAGTTAGGATGAGGTAAAAATAGAGATAAGTTGGGATTACAGCGGGGCCAAAGATGTGGCTAATGTAAGGTTAATGCGGAGTTAAGGTTAAGGTAAAGGTTATGCTGATGTTAAACTGGGGAAAAGTGGATTTTTATTCCGGTATTTAATTTGAATTTTGTAGAGACTAAATCTTGAATTGTGATAAATGTAAGTTATATCTATTGCAAGAAATACTTTGCAAATATTGCTAGTTTAGGTATAACAATTAGTTTTGATTGCAGTATCGACTTTATTTTATTTTAAAAAAAAACTTGAGCTAGTAATACAAAATATATAGTATAGTGAAGGCCAGTTTATGAGCCATTCTCCTGCTGCCACTGCTCGTGTTTGGCCAGAAGTTTCTGGCCCAAGGGACGCACCTGCCGGAAAGCCTTCTCCACATTGGCCTCGATCGCAGCCTGGGATTCCTTCGACGCACCGGTGGATCGATCTCCCACCTTGGTGGCACAACGCACCCGGTGCATGCTGATCTCCTTGCATGCCAGACGTATCTCATCTCCGGTAAACTGATCAGAGATCTCCACCAGCTTCTGGAGCAGTCGGGGATTCAGGGAGATGCTAGTGCCCAAAAGACGGCTGATCAGGCAACTTCTCTCCGCCTCATTGGGCAGTTGGACCAGCAATTTCTTCTCGAAGCGCCGCAGAAAGGCCTCATCAATGTCCCAGGGCAAATTGGTGCTGGCCAGGACAAAGACCCCGTTCAAAGTATGCTCCATGCCGTCCAAAAGTTGCAAAAGTTCGTTCTTAAAGCGCTTGGAACTCTCGTGATCCGTGGCCCTGTCCCTTTTGGAGGTCAAACTTTCGATTTCATCAAGGAAAATCACCGATGGTGCCCTCTTCGCAGCCATGTGAAAGAGCACCCTGAGAATCTTTTCCGATTCTCCGCGCCATTTGCTCACCATTATGCTGGCTGTTATATTGAAAAAGGTCACCTGACCCTGGGTTTCGGAATACAAAGCCTTGGCCAGAAGGGTTTTTCCACTACCCGGTGGTCCGTGGAGCAGCAGGGATCTCCAGGGTTTCAGGCCATGGGCAAATAATTGGGGAAATTCAATTGGCGTCACAACAGCTTCCTTGATCAGCTCTATGGCTCGCTGATTACCACAGACATCCGACCATTTTAGCTTTATATTCTCCTGTAGTATAGTCGTTTTTACCAAATCCGCCAGGGATTGCCAGTCCAGAGATGAGAATAGAGCATCATCGCCACCCAAATGACCATGTTCGATTTCACAGGCATTTTCCTGGCCACTTGACTCCACTGCAGTTTCCATTTTCTTAATCTGCAGCGGTTGTATTTCATTATTCAAAGCTGCTGTGGCTGCACCCACACCAATGTGCCAATTGGCCAGAGAAGCCTCTGTGCTCGGAGTTTGTTTCTTTGGTGGATCCTTGGGTTTTTCCTGCTTTGCCCCAGACATTTCCACCTTGATTTTGGGTCCAATTTTCTTTAGGATCTTAGGGTATTTACCAAATTTCAGGTTAAAAAAGCTGGCGTACTCCAGGTACATGGCATCCAAGTCGATATTGTCGCACAGTTCGTACTCCTCGGAGAGACGTCCTTCGGTTTTCAGGGATTCGGCAGTGGAATAGTATCCATTCTCCACCAGATAGCGATGCATCAGGTAGAGAATATTGCGGCGACGTGTGCTGAAGTTCCTCACATCCTCACAAAGAACTTGGGCAGCCACCGTCGCTGCCACTCCGTATTTTCCCTGGGTCTTCATTATATCGCTTTTCCGGGAAATTTACGCTCGATTGTTTTCTATCCCAAGATCTTTGTGTACTATCTGGCGTAGATTTTCCAGCAATTGTTTTCTGCCTCGGAAACGAAACGGGGTTGTCATAACGAATGGCAAGGGTTGCCATGTTACATGTTAGAGGTTTTCTATTTTTTTCTCAAAACATTTTCCCCGGCAACCGCAGGTACTGGAAAATGGGGGGTAAGCAGGTGGAAAACTAAAAAGATTCACAATTTCATATCTGCTCTGTGGGCTAATTAAAAATGCAAAAAAAAGCAGAAAAACCTAGAAGTACTCCTTTTTGACATGATTTGTGGTTTGGTTTTTGTCATACAAAGGTTTTGCCAGATTAAAAGCTTAAAAAAAATTAAACAGGAAAACTATGACAGTAAATAATTGATAAAGTAAGGAGTCCATGAATTCGTTTAAATGTGGTTTAATTAAAAAAAAATACAAATATGCTAAAAAATATATTTTTCGATGAATTTCCTCTGAGGCTAAACATTTGTTATGTACATATTTTAAAATATTTAAAATACCAATTTAATGTTCTTTATTTACCATATTGTAATTGTAAATCATTTTTAATATTGTTAATTATTTAAACAAATATGAATCAATCTTATTTTTGCAAGTATTTTCTCATTGGTTAATGATTTTAAAATGGCCATTTAATTTTCATTATATTTTAATTTTAAGTGGTAAATTATTTCTAATATGCTTACTTCGTTAAAAAACTGGTTAGCCCTTTGTTTCGCAATTTTTTTTTAAATATTTACAATTCCCAATCATTACCTCTTATTTTCCACTGTGTACTTGTGCTGTTTATCCAGCAAATCCTGAACTAACCCAATTCACTGCCTCGCAAATTGCCGGATCAGTTGGCCGCAATTGAGTCCTCTCAATTGGTTAGTGCCCTTAATTGTTCGTTGTGCACTTTCC